CCCTGATTCTAACCTCTCTCTCTTTCTCTCTCCCTTTCTCTCATTATGACCTCAGCCATGCCCAACCCACTTCCTTCCCTTTTTTCTTGTTTATCTCTTCATCTCATCCCTCTCCCCATTCTCTCTGCTCCTCTATCTATTTCTCCCATTTTTTCTTTTTCTTTTCATTCTTTTTTCAACATGTTTCTCTCTATATATACCCTTTTTCATACCAGGAAAGTGAAACCAAGAAGTTCAAGTGAGTTTATATCCATTCACATTATTTACATTTTTATACATGAAACAGTGACGTCATTGGAGACTAATTTGTACATATATATTTTTTTTAGAATTCTTATTATTATATATATACTTTTTAAAGAACACAAATAGGTTTGGTTAGAACATACATCAAATACATACCAAGGAGATTATCTTGTGGTAGTATGATAGGAGAGTGTACTATACATCTTTTTTATTATATTTTATCACGAATGGGTGAGCTGGGATAAGGACCAACGAATGGGAAGAGAAGGGGGGAAGAAAGAAAGTAATGAAAAACCGACAAAAGGGAGGACAGAAGATCAAATTAAGAGGAAGGAAGAGAGGGGATAAAATCAGGACGTGTGAAAAGGGACAGAGAACAAGGAACAGAGGATAAAACAAAGGAACACGTGAGAAGAAGAAGAAGAACAAAAGGCGAGATCAAAGAAACAAAGAGAGGGAGATTAAAAGGGGGAAATGGATTAAAAAAAGAGGGAAGAATATACGAAAGGCGTAAATAAGAGACAGAAGAAAAGGATGCCAAGAGGAAGGGAAAGAGGATTTTTGAATGGAAAACAAATGACGGTCGTCTTTATTACGTCAATGTTTACAATCAAGAAGCTGCCTGTAGGCTTTCTCATGAATAAGTTTCATGCCCTAAAAATCTTGTCGATAGAATTCTTCACTAACTATTAACGATTTTATTTTATTTATATATATATATACTTTGTTATTATTTCCTATTATCAAGGTGTTTAGCTTTCACAAACCTTCAAAGCGATATAAAAAGTAAGACTACTTAAAAAAAAAAAAAAAGTTGAATTGTTATGTGTATATATTCACTTTTGTCGATAACGGATCTCTATATAATAGACACTACATTATATCACCCTATGTTGCAAAAAAATGTATAAAAATGTGATGTAGACTATACAGTACTTTGCTAAATTTTTAAGCATTTAATTTGTTTATACTAAAATAGCCTAAAACTGTGATCTTATTAACAGAAAAGCGCTGTGTTAGGCAGTATTAGTATTACTTGCTAATTATCAATTTATAGAGGACAGGAGACCAGTAAAATGAGATGAAAAATTAACCGAGTTGCCAGTCAGCAAAGGATGTTTTTAGATATATATGTATATTTATTTTAGATAGAGAATGAAGGCGTGTAGATTGAAAATGAAGGAAATATAAGTTGATTGCAGATCGAAGGAAAGAAAAAAATAGATAAATGTTTACGAACATATTACGAAAACATTAATAAGTTTTGAAAAAGAATAGCAACATGGAAAAATATTACTGACTTGATAAAAACAAAAATCAAAATTAAAACTAACTAAGCAAAGGAAATGGTAGTAAGGCATATGGACAGGAAAAAAGAAGAAGAAATATATAAAAAGAGGAAATTTGAGGAAATAAAGACAACAGACTGAAACAAAATATAAAATAAAGAAAAACACAATGATACAAAAAAAGAAGAAGAAAAAAAGGCAAAAGGAAAAAGATAAAAGGAAATAAAATAAAAGAAAAATAAACTTGTGCTCCCTTTCCACGTTCTCACAATTGACATTAAATGTGAAAGCGCAGGAGTGTATTTCACTTTATTATTATTTTTCTTTATCTATCGCTATAACTATTATTCTCTCAGTCTCAGCTACCCAAAAAGAGAGGGAAGACGATGTGAAAAAATAAGATTAAAGTAGAAATCAAAGTTAAAAGACACGTCCAAATAGTCCAAAAATAAAGGCTGGAATGGTTGTTTAGGGAAGTTAGCAAAAGTCGTTAGTTAATGTTAAAGGTTCTTTTTATACAACATGGTTTACTTAAGGTGACAACGGTAGCGTTTTTCGTTAACTACAACAGCAATATATGTCTATTTATGTATATATGTATATATTTTTGGGGTTATTTATGACTTTTTTTTTGGAAAGACATTTTTATGTATTTATTAATTATCTTTGGCTCTGATGAAAATATGGAGATAACATTAACGATACGGAAAACTGAAGCTGAAAAAATATATAGGAGGGAAAGGGGGGTAAAGACATTTTTTTTTTTTTTTTTTTTTTTTTTAGATTTTGAAATCGTCTTTAATTTAGATTGCTTTTGCAGTATCATCATTTCCGAAAATTGATAGAAAGAGAAACGAACAAACAAGATTGATTATTAAAATTTCCCGAAGAAAGCGAATGGCCATTTGCATAAGGCGATGGGGGCGCACTTGGTTGGGGGGAAAAGGGGGAGGGGGGTCTTTTGACACATGCTACTATGTATATGTATTATATATATGTATATATGTATCCATATCAATTTCATATAAGCGAAAAAAGCAGAAAAAAAACACCAAGGGCCACAATGCTGAGCTAAAACGTCCAATATTTTTTTTATTTATCTATTCGTTAAAATATTTAATGGTTGTGATCGTAAATTATCATTTTGTTATTAGGAGTCTATTGATTTTGCCTTTTAATTTGCTGTATAATTTGCACGCACTGTACAAATATGGAAACAAATGCACACAAAGGAACAAACTTTATTTCTTAATTCTTTGTAAAATGTTTTCTTTTTTTCTGTTATTATGCAAACAAACTTCCACTCGTATCAAAATATGTTTAT